CGGCACTGTATGACAAGCAGATTTACATCAACTACCCCAACAAGACGTTTGCTTGGATCGACACCCCACAATGTGAGCCGCCCATTCCCTGCCGCATGCACCAGTCATGCTCGGCACAGTCTGTCCCTCCCTACCATCCACTCATCTGCCCATCCCTCCCTACCATCAATCAACTCGTCTGCCCCTCTCCGCCATCCACTCCCTCTCCCTTTCCCTTCCCCTGCTCTCAACCCATCACGCATCTCCTATAACCATCTCAATGTTCTCTCTCCGGTGAATCACTCGTGCCTCCCTTGCTGCAGGTTCCAAGAACCTCTCGTTTGTTCCGCCGCCGCCCTCGCCACCTCCTGCTCCTGCTGCGCCCAAGCCTGCTGCTCGTCTGGCTCCTCTGCCAACTCTGTCTTGGCACCTGGTGACAACGACAGGGTCTCTCCTGCTGCTGCTGCTACTGCAGCTGCTGCTTGTCTGAGAAGCCAGCCCCCACTGCTAATTAATTTCATGGGTAGATTTTCTGCTGCTGCTGCCTTTGAGATGCAGGAGTGCAGAAGGTAGAGCAGAGCACGTAGTTTAGGTGGTGGTAGGTGAATGAGAGGAGGAAATAGTTGAACGAGCAGCTGTCATGACATGACATGAAAATGAAAATGAAATGACGTGCCACGACGTGGCATGAGAAATGACAGCTCTTTGTGCCGTCCTTTTGTTTCTGACCTTCTGTTTGTGGAATGTGGGATCCTTTTTCAAGAGTCTCTCTTTCTCCTGATGCATGCTTTCATGATGAAGACACCCACAAGCACACCCCTCCATGGCACCGCTGCTCTCAAACTAGTTACATTGGTGTGAACCTTCTTGTTCTCTTGTTTCCTATAAATCACTCGCCATTAGTGAAGCCCTCTTCCCTCTCATTTATCTCGCCATGACTCTCGTAACTCTAGATCTAGTTCCTCCTATCCTAAGCCTAATATGGTTCCTAGGCTAAGCTCGTTTTCTGACACACAGAATTGTCCAAAAGCATTCGACCTTCCGAAGGTAATTCCAGGCAGCTACCGGTAAATACTGATCCAACCAATCTCTTCACTGGTGGAATAGTACTCACAGCAGGCCACAAGTCTGGTAAGCTCCCACAAGGAGGCTAGCATGCGACAGTGCATTCTCCTGAGATAAAATGCTCCAGGGAAGAAGTCGGGCTCTACAGTAGGGCGGCGGAGGTGGCAAGGACAACGACAGCTGAGAGTGCTGCGGGCAGCAGGGAGAGGGAGTGGGTGGCCCCATTGGAAACAGGCGCGGGTGGTGGAGGAGGGGGGGGTGGCAGCTGCAGAGGCTCAGCTCCACCTGTTGGGATGAGAGGAGAGGAGGAGAGGAGAGGAGAGGAGGAGAGGAGAGGAGAGGAGGAGAGGAGGAGAGGAGAGGAGAGGAGTGGAGAGGAGAGAGAGGAGGAGAGGAGAGGAGAGGAGTGGAGAGGAGAGGAGAGGAGCAGAGGAGAGGAGAGGAGTGGAGAGGAGAGGAAAGGAGGGGAGGAGAGGGGTGGAGAGGAGAGGAAAAGGGATGGAGGGAGGGGAGGGGAGGGAAAGAAAGGGGGTTCGTGTCAGAAAGGAGGAAGTAGAGCAAGGCGCAAACGACAGAAGAGGATCAAAAGTGGGCAGAAATGACAAGGGCAGCGGTGGCAGAGTCTGGAAGGGAAAGAATGTCTTCCAGAGGTCTTGGGTGTGATCTGGCAGACCGGACAGAAGAACTTGGTGTTATTGTGGTGAAAATGCAATATTTTTTGCAGCAAGTTAAAAGATTTGCCTGCTTGAATGACCACAGCGGCAGCAGTTACAGGTGGAGGACAGAAAATGCCCGCAGCAAGCTGTGTTGATCATTAGAGGGTGAAGGGCAGGCAGGCGATGTGGGCAGGGTGAGCAGCAGCTTACAGTGAGGGGAATACATCCATCCTGCATACTCATTGGTGTAGTCTTGGAGGAGGTACCTGCCGAGCAGCCCCGGCTCTGCTCAGCGGCCCCGGCACCACATGCACCGACAGAAGTGGAGGGCAGTGAGAAAAGGGAGTGGTGTTGGCAGCAGGGAAGCGGGAAGAGCAGGCGCAAAGGGGCAATGGTGTAACCATGAGCCATCGCGAGGCAGAGAGGCATAGGGGCAGCGATGATTCCATGACTAATCTGGCCATGCTTGTAGGATACAGGTTGAAGTTAGTCACATGCAGCGGAGCCGACGAGTGCTTGATCCAATAACCCCGTTGCAGGATTACTTCTGAGAATCCAAGAATCCTTGAAAGGTAATGTAAGCGCAACGATCCATGCTTGTTTATCTAAACAAGCTTGCATCAGCTGGTAGGCGTGTTGTGAGGAGTGAATGGTGGTTGGCATGGCACAATGGCAGAGGATGGGCAGCACAGCACAGCACGGCAGAAGCTCAGGTGAGCAAGTCATTGAGTGAGCAAGTCATTGAGTGAGCAAGCCAGAAACTCAGGGGGCTCATCCAGCTCTCTGACAGCGCGACTGGGGTTAAGGAGGGCTGAGATGACATGGACGAGTGGAGCACGGAGAGCAAGGGAATGGGATTGACCCCACCACGTGGAAGCGAGTTGAGGTGAGGGGGAATCGAAGAAGGGAGAGGAGATGGGAGTGGGGGGGGAATGAGAAGGGGAGAGAGGAGAGGGGTGAAACCAGGAGAGAGGGAGAGAAGAGGAGGAGAGAGGAAAGGAGAGAGGAGGGGGAGAGGGGAGAGGGGAGACGGGGTTTTGCAGGCACTGCAAGGAGAAATGGCCGTGTTCACCTGAGCGAGGTACTCGTGAGGCTTGAGATAGTAGTGGGCGGTGCGACTGGTGTTCTGAATAAAGGGGAAAGCAATGTCGATGGTGGGGAAGGCCGTGAACGGATCCACCGCCTTGTTCTTGTTGCTGCAAAAAGAGCATGGTTGTTGTTGTAAGAGGGTAGTAAAGCAGTCCATGATTCCATGATTTCGCTTCATTGACAACATCCCAGCCCATGTGTAAGAGCACCTGAGCAGAGCACTGAACCCGTGTGGATGGATGCGATGCAAGCTCCAGCATGCGCTGCTGACCAGAGATGACAAGAGATGATAGAGTTGAGTTGTGGTGCACAGGGACGCACAGGGGGTCACTGTTACAACAACGAGAGCAGATAGAGCAGGCCCCACACGACTTGGGTACCAATTTGTTCCATGCCCACGCCACGCCCAACACCTCCGCTCCGTTCCGTCTCACAGGCCGGCTCCCAGGTGGCGTAATGGTTCGCAGACCAAAAGGCATGCCGGAACCGAACGGATCATGTCGCCTTCTTTCCTTTCTGGAAAGGCAACCTGCCGTGTTGGCTAACCCCAGCTGACGTGCTTAAGGTTGGGTTGCAGCAGGTGATGTACCTCGGCACTTACGTATGCAAAAATTGTGGAGTCACCTTTTTCAAATCCGAGGATCAATGTCAGTTTTATAGCGGGTGACCAAGCTTTGATGAAAAGGTACCAAACACAGTGAAGAAAATACTCGATGTGAGGCTCCCAGAGAGGTAGAATCAGTGCGGCTGACCTTGCAGTCAGTCAGTTGCAGCATGTCCTCAAGGTTCCATTCGTGTGAAGGACAATCAAGGGTCATTTGAGCGGGAGCAGGGAGGGACCAGCGACGTTGCGCACGTATGGAGGTGACACTTGGGGTTGGGGGAACCAAGATAAAAAAAAAGACTCACTTGAAGCATGGAATCCCTAAGTAATTCACAGTCTTCGTCTGTTTACAAAGGTCATGCCCAGTCAGGTCTCGGATCTGCGAACGTTCACATGCACATGCGTATGTGTGTATGCGTAAGCGGGTACGGCATGAAGAGGATGCACACAAAAGGAAGCGGCACATGAAGAGATTGAGGGGGCGCTTCAACATGGAGTGGAGAGAACGAGCATTTCCATGCTTTGAGTCGACTCAGAACGAGCATTTGCAGCAGGCCCTGTTGCACTACCGTCTACTAAGTGTGACACGCAAGCCTGACGCCAGGAACTTCCAAGCAAGTGTACATACATAAAGAGACAGGAGCGATTTCACTTTCACAAGCACCGGATGCAGGGCAATGAAAGATATTGTGAGTTATCTGTGCTTCAAGACATCTGTGGCGCAGTAACGACCAAGTCCTGTTGCAGACCTCCTTTGCTTCTTTGTTGCCTGGCAGAACGAGACAGCTCACAACATAGCACATAAATAAATGCAGCGACAATCATGGCAGCTTGACTCACTGGTTCCGCTTGGCCTGGCTTTCATGACATGGAGTCAGTCGGGCTCTCAGACAGACACCCAGCCAGGCAAGCAAGCAGGCACAGGGCGAGGTTAGGCGAGGAGAACGTACCCCGTCGCAAAGGCTCATGAAGAGAGGGAAGCGCAGGAGATGCACGAAGGACTCGGGCATGAAGCGGAAGCCCGGAGTGGCGTTCTCAGGGAAACCCGCCGGCACGTCGGATGGGTCGTCTGAGATGTTGAGGGATCGCGTGGCAGTGGTGAGTGTGATGTGGCTGAACTGCATGCCGACCAAAAAATCCCTGGGTGGTGGGATTGCACACGGGTAACACGCATGAGGTGGGTGGGTGGATGGATAGATGGACGGATGGACGGATGGACGGATGGACGGATGGACGGATGGACGGGCGGACAGGCGGACGGGCGGACGGGCGGACGGGCGGACGGGCGGGCGGGCGGGCGGGCGGGCGGGCGGGCGGGCGGGCGGGCGGGTGGATGGGTGGATGGGTGGATGGGTGGATGGGTGGATGGGTGGATGGGTGGATGGGTGGATGGGTGGATGGATGGATGGATGGATGGATGGATGGATGGATGGATGGATGGATGGATGGATGGATGGATGGATGGATGGATGGATGGATGGATGGATGGATGGATGGATGGATGGATGGATGGATGGATGGATGGATGGCCTATATGTGCAGGGCGGATACACGTGCACGAGGGGGATTACATGTGCACAAGGGGGATTATATGTGCACAAGGGGGATTACATGTAGGTGTAGTTGGCGGCGCCTTTAGTGAGGCCGAAAGCACCGATGACGAGATGGCTGCTGCCTGTCTGCAGCGGCACCTTGCCATCCCACCCCGTCTTGTTCGTGGGCGTCGGCTCCTCCAGACACACCGCGAAGGACATTGGGGTATAGGCAGAGGTGAGCTGCTGCAGGAAGGGGCTGTCCCACCCCAGCCCCAGCACGCCTCCTGCTGCCCACGACCCGTACTGCCACCCCTGCATGCCCCAGTGGCCCATCTGGTTCACTCCACAGCTGGGCAGGGAATGGGGGGCGGCAGAGAGGACGAGAATGAGGGAGAGCATGAAGGAAGGGGCGAGCATTCGAGATGTCGTGTAGTTGGATAGCGATGTTGAGGGAGGAAGCACGGGAGAGAGGACGGGGAATGACAAGGAGAGACTCACCCAAGAATGATGGAGCGGTTGACTTCGGTACCATCAGGTGCAGTGAGGTATACAGTGTCCTCCACCACATGCCCCACTGACTCAAGGAACGATCCTGTTCCATTGTTAGCTTCATAGTCCGCTTCATAGTAGTCGTAGCCTCCTGCATACGCATCGTACACGCAGAGCGCGTCGTCCCCAGGCAACAGGCCCGTGAGGTTGATGTAGTTGGGGAGCCCTTCCGTGCTGCAGCCGTAGAAGCCGGATTGAGCGCCGCTCTGGCAGCGCCGGTCGACGCAGGAGATGTACTTGAGGGTTGTGGAGGAGAGCGTGCTGAAGGGCTTGCTGTAGGTGGTCTGCGCGGCGAGGGAGAGGGAGAGAGAGATGGAGAGTGGAGGGAGAGAAAGAGGGAGAGGAAGTGGGTGAGGGAGCGGGAGGGGGATAGGGAGAGGGAGAGGGCGAAGGAGAGGGAGAGGGAGAGGGAAAGGGATACGAAAAGGTATAGGAAGGAGGAAAAAGTGAGGCTCGAAAGGGGTGGCTTGCTGTAGTCAGTGTGCAGGGGGAGGGAGAGCGGCAGAAGGCGTTGTGGCGGGGGTGGGGAAGGGGATGGGGTGATGGGTGGGGACGGGACGGGAGGGGAGGGAAAGTGAGGCTAGATTTATGTGCTGTTGTAGCGGAAACAGAAATGCAGAATGAGTGGATTCACATGTGTGTTGTGACAGGGCAATGGGAGAGAGAGCTAAAGGCGGAAACATTCATCTTCCGCAGGTCATAAGGAATCTATCAGCCAGAAAAGGGGGTGACGTGAGGACAGAGGAAAATAAATGAGAAGGGAGAGGAGGAAGCAAAAGGGGTGAGGACGAGGAACGGAGTCATAGCTCAGACTCGATCGCAACCCGCACCGCACCGCAGAGAAAGAAATAAACAAGCGAACAAAAAGACAAGAGGAAACTCCACGGAATGACACTCATGGACAAGGGACCGTGAACTTCCACTCAGTCACCCTCTTAAGTCCTCACACTCTCACTCTCTCACACTCTCAAATTCTCACTCATTCACTCTCATTCGAACTCCTCACTCCCCCGCGCGGGAGGAGTGAGCGGAGGGCGGAACCCCACGCACCCCCTTGCGCATGGAGCCGCAGTGGAGACAGTCGCAGGGCACGAAGGTGAAGGGCAGGAACAGGTTGAGCGCCATGCTGAAATCCTGCTTCCTCGACCCCAGCTTGAGCGCCACGTAGTACGGATACACGCTGGTGGGGGGAGATGTGCCCGATGGGGAGGGGGGGAAGGGGACGGGGGGAGAAGGGGGAGAATGGGGAGGTCACGGAAGGAGGGAGGTGGAAGTGGGGGTCGGTGAGAGGTGGGAGAGCATGGGACCGTGCGCATATTGTGGGACGCTGGTTGACCGAGAGGGGTGTGAGAGAGTTGCTGCGGGCGTTGTGAGAGAGTGTGTTTTGAGAGTTTGTGAGTGGCACGCAGCGAGGGGGATGCAGCGAGCAAGAGGCATTTCACCCATAACTGCACTGCACGACAATGGCGCATACGGGAGGCGGATCTTGTCGTTGCCGCCGGCAAAGGTGCTGTAGTTGACCATGGTGTTGCCCATTGTGCCGTTGGCCGTTGAGACCAGCGTGCTGTCGTACTCCTTCATTGGCAGGGAATACCCCGTCAACTGCACGCAAGCAGTGATGCACGCAAGCCGTGATGCACGCAAGAATGAAGCAAGCAGGTAGGTGGGACAGACAGCCCATGTGAGCGACGGATTTCCGAGGTGGCAACAACGGCAAAAGAAAACTCCCCGTTGTCTGCACGCAAGCAACGAGGCAGATTAGCCGCACAGGCAGGTGGGGGGTTCGCTACGGCGCGGCAAGATACAACAAGGTATAAGAAAGCTGACTCACATCCGATGCCCCGCCTGCCTCTCCTTTGCCCCTCAAGCCGCCCCCCACGCCCTGCGCATGCCACGGGATTGTGAGAGGGAAGGAAGAAGCAAGCGATGAGGAGACTCACGTGGGTGCAATCTCAACCGCAAAGACACACAATGCGGCTGCTAAGTGGCAGAGGCTAATCATAGCTGTCTACTACTCAGTGCTACTATACTGTGTCTCCTCATACGACCCGCGATGTAAAGGGACGGACGCCTGTCGTCGTGACTGACGTATTACGAGCAGCAACGCGCGCTCCGGCCCCAGCCGCTTTGAGACGTCTCAAACTCCGAGTTACGTGACGCGTCATGAGCGAGCAATCTTGTGACATGATACTGCTACACTGTCTTCCTAACTACTACTAGTCGTACTATCATGTCTTGAGACGTCTCAAGCATTTCGTGATTGAAAGGCCAAGCAGCAACGCCCTGCTTGCGGGCCCTCCCCCGCTCACTCTGGACCCGAGAATGCGCCGGTGTATCTCCTCCCTGCTGGGGGCGTCTTCCGCGCGCTGCAGGGGGAAGAAGTGCGCGCCCGCTTCCGCTGATCGCCGCTTCCACTCCGCAATCGACTCCGCGCCGTCGCTCCCCGTGACAGTGGTGCTGCCCGCCCCACCTCCGTTGCCGCTGCTGGCGTATGGATCATGCTGGCGCCCCTCGGATGTTCCGACCTGCGATGACTCGCCGCGAGAGCGAGGGGAGAGGGGGTTAGAGAAGGGAAGGGGGGTAGGGAGAGGGAGAGAAAGGTGGTATACGCACAGAAAACGGGAGGATGCGTCAGAGTTGTTGCAAGTCAGAGTGGTACTGCAAACAAAATTGTAAGCAAGTAGTACGAATAACAGTTTGTTCTCACAGCGCTGTGCGTAGTCCTAGTACTAGGGTTCCTCGCGCCGCCGCTTGTTCAAGAACATCATCTAGTAGCGCCACATGCCGCAGCGTCCCAGAATGTGAGCCACCATGTGACTCACAAATGGACATCTTACTACTCGCGCCGCGTCGTGCTGTCTCCCAGATGCTAGCATCGGCTGGGCCCTACAAGTTGTACCTCGGGAGACTGCGAGTCGAACTGCTGATGAGAATTTGCGGCATTCCCGGCACGGCTCCGGGAATGTTGAACGTCCGCAACGGCTATCTCGGGGCCGTGGCGCGCGTGGATTCGCAAGACGCTGAGGGAGAGGAGCAGGAGCGGCACGAGATGACGCGGGGAGACGCCACGGCACGCAAAATCCATGGTAGCAGCCCGCTGGGAGAGGGGTTTGCGTTCAATGCCAGAACTTCTGCGAGCGTCACAGAAGCTCCACAACCGCACAGTGCAATCATGCTATGGGTCATCGGAGAGAAAATTCTGGTACTTCTACCACTACTTCCACGGTCGAGGCAGGCTGAACGCAGAGTAGAAGCGGAAAGGCTTCAGTCCGGCTGTCAGCCACAGATGTAGCATGTGGCTTACGACCAGTAGTAGTGGCTGGTGCCGCGCTGGTCGGACGAAGTCTCGTCTCCTACTAGACATGTGAATAACCCTAGCCCATACTGCGAGTCGCGCCACCCTGCTCTGAGCTCTCAGACCTGACGCGCCGCGGAAAAGTCAAAGAGGAGAGCTCCCCCCAAATTCGTAGCTGATTACTCAATGCAGGTCAACGCATGCATAGTCAGCTTCAGTAACGAGCTGGCTGTCGATTTGTTTGGGGCCAGAACTTGGGAGGTTGAGCTGCCCCTAAACCAGGGAAGAAATACTGTATTAGGGTGTATAATCAAAGATGCACTTCCGATGTGGTTGTGTTCTCATGTTCTCAACGTTCGACCCCATTGTGAAGCGAGTTTTTGGTATGAAAAGGACTTCGCTTGCATCCTCTGTGTCGCGAGTGTCCTGTAAGTAAGCAAATCTGTGAGCCCTTTGACTTGTCCTTCTGTAGGTGAGTGAAGTGGTGGAATGGGCTGTGATAGAAACATGCTACTAGCTTTGGGCGTGGAACATTGTAATGACCAAGGCCAATGGTCGACCATTTGCCTGTTTCAGGCGTGAGCGAAGTGCTGTAACGCATGAGGCACGAAAACAAGAACCAAAATGTTCGCCAGCACGTGGGGCGCCCTCTGGAAGCTACTCCCATAGTTGAAAGCACGAAGTTGCTACCCCGGACGAGTTTGGGGTGCTACAGGCTGACGGACACGCCGTTGAAATGGCGTGTTTTCCCTCGTAAGATATTTCGTGTTTTGCTTCGTCAGATAATTCGTGTTTTGCCTCGTCAGATATTTCGTGGTTTGCCTCGTCGTTCCCATCCTGTTCGAACTACCCGCAATAAGCGGAATGTAGGAAATGCCTTGATTTTTCAGGGCATTTTCTAGGCCATCATATAGTTTAAAGCGACGGGCAACTTTTGGCAGTGTTGGGTTCAGAAGTTTTTTTTTTAACCAGGCTTGCCAGCGCGAAAGTGCTGGCTGGCGAAAACCAGGATTTCGTGCGGACACTTTCCATCCGCAGTAACAGTTCGCCAGGGTTCTGGGTTTTGGGTGGCAAATGTGCACCGTCGCTTTAAGGGCAACTTCTTCCTGGACTCTCATGGCAACAAAAATTAAAGGCCCTGTTTTGTTTACTACGTCTAGGCCTGCCTATTTACTCGTCGAGTAACTACACAACACAAAAATCGCACGCACACACACATGCATGCACCTAAGGATTTAGTGTAGCACCATTGTCCAGTATTAGTATACTACCTAGTCCTCATCATCAGAGATGCTAAACCCACTGATGCTGCTGCTGCCGTGTTCCAAATCTGCCTCGCTAGCGTCCTCTAACCTTATCTCCTTCCTTTTTGCTCTCATTGGTCTATGCCTTTGATGCTCCATTCTCGTGATAGGCATCCCCTTGATGCTGTTGTGCGACAAATCTAACACTTTACCTCATTCAATGACACAATCAACCAGACTCAGGCACATCAAGTAACTGAGCCTGGCATTGCAAAGACTAGCCATTTGCTAAGATTTCTCACGTTATGGCAGCTGAAGCCACGCTCACTATCGACGATGCTGTGCTGCAGGACAAGCCACCGCTGTCCAGAGGCGGACGAGGTTGGGGTAGCTCCGCTCCCAGTCCTTCGTTCGCAACATGGCCGCCATATCACGTTGAAATCGCATGCCTGGGGGACAACCTTGCAGGACGGGGACAAATGTGCTCAGTTTCTTCTTGGCAGCTCTTTTGTTCACACCTACCATACAGTGCAAAGATGCATTCTGGTTAGGCAAAGAAAGGAGACAAGGCCCTTACACAAACAGGACAAAATGGTTCAGGCGTTACAACTTAGCTTACCTGGTAGAATCTCCATTCGCTCGCGGGCATGGAAAACGCACTATTACTCTTATGCATCCCGGCTAGGTGGGTAGGTGTCTGGCATTAAGAGCCTGACACCGTTTAGGTTGTCAAGCTCTTCGAGCCTCGACTTGATATTGCAGATAATTGCCTTGGCGTGTATATGGCAGACGTTGAGACACAACAAAAAAATCGCATGGGGACTTTCTGTAGCCGGAAAACGCCTCCTCTTGTAGCTCATAGTTGTGATGTCGTGTCAACCCCTCGCCTTCCGCGCCCTCCACCATGACACGACGACCTTTGTTAAGTATGGCGAGGAAGGCTAGGAGAAGTTGATGTTGGGCGCCACCAAAGTCTTTGCCGCACTCGAATTATCGGCCACGAATGTTGATGATAGTGCGACACAACAATGCCTGGACTGAAGTCATGTCAACCTGTCATGTAACATGGTAACAGTCAAAACCATGATGATACAACAGTGTATACGCGCTCAAATGTTTGCAGTGGCAAATCGCCTCACGTTTCTTGAACTCCAGGTTCATGTGTTGAGGAGGCTGAGCACGTAGGCCATGTATTGCACATACACAATAGACTTCAAAGAAGTTCCAATGTGATACATGTCTTTGTCGTACTCTATCAGGAGCACGATGACGGCGGGCATGACAGGCACCAATTGTATAAAAGGATTCAACCATCGAACTATGGATACCCTGCAGATTGGAGTTAGTTTGGTAGAAAACCTCAAGCAACTCCTTGAAGATGTTGTGACACATAATGGACCTTCCAAGATACTCGACGAGTTCTTTCAACAATGAGGAGATTCACTCTACAACGGTGGGAGCTAGACTAAGGGATAGGCACGGGTTGTATGAGTGATCGTAACTGCTCTGCTTGTGTTCTCTCTACTTACGCATTCACAACGATAATTGGCTAGAGTTTCACTAGCAAAGTTGGGATTACATAATGATTGAAAAAGCAAAGACTACAATGACTATATCAGAGCCTAGCAACCTAGCAGACAGGCAGGCCGACCGCCAGCGCAGAAAGGTCGACAGCCTTCAAGTGTTGCGTAGAGGCACCGCGCCAGCGTTGCAGAAGAGCAACCTGCCAACAGAGCAAGTCGGCGGCTTGCCAACGCTGCACCAATGCGGCTTGCCAACGCTGCAGCAGAGCGGTCTGCCAGCGTTGCAGTCGCAGGTGACAGTAACGCATGTGCGCACCCACTTCGTAGGTGCGTGGCGACGGTCGAGCACGTTGTGCACCGTCGCGCAGGTGCCAAGTCGGCCACGTGCCGATGATTGCGCCTGAATAGCCACGTCGGGCTCGGGATATCAGCCCGAGGTCGCCTTCGCCTCAGTGGCCTCGACGACGTTCGCGCGCCCCTGCAGAACCTCGTTGAGCAGGTTACTTGGTCGGCCGGGTAAAGTCTACGGCGCCCTGGTCGACGACCTCCCTCGTCGACCACCACTTCTATCGAAGACCACCCTGGTCGACGGACCCCTCCGTCGTCCAGCTCGGTCAGTTGCTACTGTCGAACTCCCATCTTCGACTGCCCCTCGACAAACCCACGCAGGTCGACGACCACCTTCATCGACCTCCCCCGTAGAAGTAGGTCGCTGGCCCTCGTCGACGGCGGCATCGCACTGGTTACCCGCAGGTCGACCACATCGTCGACCTGCACGCCCAGACTGGCGTCGACCTCTGCCAAACAGGCGGCCGCACCTCCCGCGCACACGACCGTGGAGTCAGCGTCGCCCAAGCAAGGGCGGGGCCAACACCCAATCCCCATCAACCAACAAGCTGTCGACGAGGCCCAGCTCCAAGACTGAAGTGGCGGCGTCTCTGGCTGCCAAAGCCTCTCTTTGCCATATTGAGACGGGTTGAAAGTAAGAAATTGTTGAACGTACGGGAATGTCAAACACATCTAACATAACAGCCAAGAACAAACTCACAAGTTTGCAATGCAATGTTAGGAGGAGAGTGCGGGATTTGTAGACGCAACCGAGCCACCAGCCCGTTGGTAATACCCATCATCACCCCGTCGCCATCCGTGCTAATCCCGGCCACCCTACTCAAATCGGTACGAAGGGTGTCAAGGTGGGTCAGCAAGAGTGCAAGCAATGATGCAGCATCACATTTCTCTACTGTAAGTAGCCCGATGAACTCCGTGACCACACAAGAGTCATGGATAAACGTGGTAAGCACATGATTGTGTTTGCCATGCACTCGATACGTACTCTTGTCATAGGTAAGTCCAACAAATGGACTCGACTACAACCAGACGTCCTGCCAAGCACGAATATGCGTTGCTGTACTAGCGATCAGCTCTGAAAAAGGACATGTATGCACAGGACAATCAACCTGTCAGAACTACGAGCAAGAAAGTTTAGAAACAGAAAGAGGAGGTTCACTAGCAGCAGTTGGGATACATATAGGAAACCCTAATTGGGTTGTACTCGCTATAGAGCACCCCACTGCAGGCTAGATAATATAACATTCTGACACACCCCCATAGCCAAAGTGGGGTGTAATCAGTACAGCAAGCAGCAGTTCACATAGTTCACAAATAATAAGCAAAGCCAGAGGCAACCACAAAGGGCAAGTGAGGAGGAGGAGGAACCGTAAGGGAAAAGAAGATAGGAGACGACGGCTGAAGCTGCAGACACACGGGCAACAGGAGTGCGCTCTGCGACTCAGTGGCTACCGGGAGCTAGTGCCCCAGATTACAGGAGTAACAGGCTCTGCGGCTGCGACGAGCGGCAGGAGCAACGGACCCACGGGCGACAGGTGCAGCAAGCTCTCTGAGCTACCGGGAGCAAGTGCCCCGGAATACAGGCGCTGCGGACGACACGACGGCAGCCTCCTCTCAGCCTCCCCAAACAGTCCCACCCCCCTGACACACACCCCCTGCTTCACCCCTAACTCCA